CCGAGCTGAGTATGGCTCGCTCGTGTTCGGCTCGTTTACACCCCTACTTGTAAGATACACCTTTTATTTTCAATAGATTTATTAATAAAGGGACATTTACATACCTACCCTCCAATTCCAGACTTTATGAAAAGTTTTGAGATAAAATATATGAAAAAAATTGTTGAGATATAAACATATAGTGATCCGATTTTAACGAGGATGTATTTGAAAAAAAAAAGGAATAAAATTCTGTTTTTTCATATTTAGATGACATACAATTATGTGATTTTCAATCATAAATATATTAGAAGAAGGGGGGGCATTCATAATTATTTATCTACATATCTAACACCAAAATTTTATTTTATATATATACATACCATCTAATTATTTCATGTCTCATAAAAATATCACTATTTTATTTTTAAAAATTGAAATTTATATTTTCAGGAATAAATATATATATCAGTGTGTGTAAAAATTCAACCTAAGGTGTTGGATATGTAAATGCATATGAATTGAGGAGTATGTAAGTAGATCCTCCGAAGGGTTAATACAAATATTTATTATAAAATCTATCATTAAATGATAAAATGTCATAATATTTATATATAATTGATATGATAAATATTATAAAAAGTTTGACGCATCAACCTCTATTTTTATAAAATAATTTATATCATAAACTATAAAAAAATGATCTAATGAATTAAACTATATTCATGTTACACTCCGCCAATGGGGGAGGATGCGCTTATGCTCCATATGTAACATGCTACTCTTGACCATTCAATTTCTAAGTAATAAATAGTGAGTAAAATGTTTGCCGACTCCCACCCATTTATAACCTTTTTTTTTTTGGCTTGTGTCAAAAAAAAAAAGGTGCCAAAAAATAAAAGAAATGATGCAACACTGAAGATATATGAAGATATATGAAAGAAAAGTTTGGCTTGTGTCAAAAAAAAAAAAGTGCCAAAAAATAAAAGAAATGATGCAACACCGAAGATATATGAAAGAAAAGAAAAAAAAAAAAAACAATAATCTCTATACTTACATCATTGAAGGCATTTATTTTCGGAGGTACCGAGATGCGAGAGAAAGAGGAATAAGGCGAGAGCATACCGATGAAAGGGAGAGAATCTTACGTACATAATTTGATTGATGCATATGAATTTTATGTACATTATTTTTACATATTATTATACAGCATATATAAAATAATATACAAAATTGTTGCACACAAAGTTCAGATACATCAGGATTCATTCCACACGTAATAATTTTTCCGATGTCACATGATAGTCGAAAATATTGTAGAACTCTAAACATATGTAATTATAAAATTGGGCAAATGGCTGACTCCCTTATAAAATATGCACATATGATGTTGTTAACCAAAAAGGAATTAAATAATTGTTGAGAAAAGTTTTAATAGGGAGGATTTGGAGGACATTTGGGGCATTTTTAGGAGTTAGAAAAGATTCCTATATACATATGAGTTAAAGATACACGCATATGATCCTACACCTACTCAAATGCAGCTATTTTTTCTTGAAATATGAATTCTTAAATAATTATAAGATGAGAAAGGACAAAATTAAAAGAAAATATTGTTAATAATTTTATGCATCTAAAATATTATCAATATGAGAGTTAGTACTCGTTATTAAAAGATCATTGCTGTTGTAATATTAATTAATAATTCAAAAAATTTATAAATATTATTTATGTTATTAAAGTTATTGTTCTCCCTCCAAGATAAAACTATGGTGCCCCGCACACACTTTTGTATCATGTAATTGCATTAAATGCTTCTATAAGAAACACTCATATTCACATTAAATGAACTATATGATCAGAGTTAATGTGGCATGTATTACTCTACGTTCAAATACTTTCTTAAGTAAGTGTCAAAAAATATAATTCATAACATATATCACATAATGAGAAAATATTACGTCTGAATATTATATGTGAAGATGACGATATGAATCACACAACATGAGTATTCACCTAATGTGGTGCAATCCATACTCATTGCCCCTGCTTCAGATTATTAGGTAATATTCCCTCTTACACATACCCTTTGAACCATAGTATCTAATAAAATGAAGTAACCATAAACTCGCAAAGCACTGAACACCTGTTTGAAATTATGTATTTGTGACTTTTTACTCAACATTTTTAATGACAAAAATAACATACGCACCACACAATTCTTATGTATTTAAATATCTAACACCCAAATTTTAATATTGACATCACTTCTTCAAATCACATGAAAAATATCACTATCACCCACTCTCAAGAAGTTAATACATCCATTCATGCATGAATTTATCTCAACAAAATATTATAGATTTTAGATATATAAATATAACAAAATTGTGTGATATCCAAGGGTTGACCTGAGTAGGGTCAAGATTTTTACTTATATATGACACAAATTGGTCTTTTGCCCCTAACTCAAATACCAGTTTTGTCTCTCATGAAGTATCATTTTGTCATTCATTAATCTAGCCATTTCCATATTATATTTAGTGGGCAGTTTAATCCCATGAAAAAAAAAATGTCTGATTTCGGATGAACAAGTTTATAAATTACAAAAAAAATAAAAAAAAAAGGTGGAGGGCGTTCATTGTGTGTGAGGGCTAAAACAAAGACAACACGTTGTCACCTCTCAAAATAGCTCTTAAGAGAGATGGGCAGCCTAGGACTTAAATATTGTTATTCGGCCCTACACCTAGACGATGTGGGACTTTTTATCCGTGACAATGCGTTGTGCGGGTGGCATCAATCACAAGAGATGCCGGCCAGGAAAAGCGTGAAGAGGGAGTAGGTAATTTAATAATGAGAGATCGTAGGAGAGGAGGTATGCAGGAATTATGGATTCTTTACAAATATGTCACGCGGTCGCCGTGAGTATTACTTCAAAAACAATTGCATGGTTTGCTTATTCTTAGACTTTAGTTGTTAATCCTGCCCGCGGGGGGACTCGTTAGTCGTTCGTTAAAAAAATGAGTAGTGCCGAAATAATCTTTTGATTGAGGAAGATTACACATATACCACTTAATTCCTATGCATTTTACCCTCTGATGTCAATACCTTAATTTTTGGGGCAATTGCGTATAGACGCTCCCAAACTTACTATTCTAGGAGAGGAGGTATGCAGGAATTATGGATTCTTTATAAATATGTCACGATAGACGCTCCCAAACTTACTATTCATCAAGCAATCTTCTTTCTTTTATTTATTTTTCAAATTCTGGCTCAAATATCAAAAATCATGTTAAAAACCCTTTTTTTTTTATTTTTATCAAATTCTCAACAGTTTTGCCATCTTTTCTTGTTTTTTTATTTATTTCTCCTCGTATATGCAGGATAGATTTTTTTTATTTGAAGTGCCTTCTTTTCTTTTTCTTCTTTTTTTGCTATTTTTCCTCATAAATCATAAAAGCTAACATAAATTAAAGATTACTGCCTAATTATTTTATAATATGTCATATTATCTTCTTTTTTTTTCATTTTTCTGTCAATTCTTCCTCTTAGATCATAAAAATGACAATGATTTATTGCGTGGGCAGGTCTGAGAAGCTTGAAACTCATGTCCATTATTTTATAGCATGGGCTATAGGAGCGCATTTTCTGTCCGGACTCCTGACGTAGCTCTACGTGCGGCGGAGGTTATTCCTGAGTTACTTTCAGGTTATTTTCAATAATCCCAAAATAACCAAAAAATAAAGACAGCGGGTTATTCCTGATTTATTTCAGGATTATTGAAAATAACTCATAAATAACCTAAAAATAACTTAAGAATAGCATCTGCCGCACGTAGAGCTACGTCAGCAGTCCGCACAGAAAAATTTGATGAGTTATAGGCCCATTATTTGAAAGCTTCTTATGTTACTGGGCCGTTATCCTCACTCAATTCAAATAAAATTTGCACAGGAGCAAGTGTTTTTTGAACTGAATTATGCTATATATATATATATATATATATATATATATCAAATTTATAATTAGTAATATGACAATATTTATTTCATAGTTTCCAAGGGTTTTTCATGTAATAATCCTAGTGTCTTCTTCTATATTATCTGTGTGTGTGATGGATTTTTGTGTAACATTAAGGGCCCGTTTGGGGTAGCTTATAAGTGCGGCGGCATTTTTGAAAACGTTGTTTGGGCAC